GATGGGGGAGGGTGGGGGAGGGCCTCTGCAGCCTTCTCCTGTCTGTCTTCTACAATAACAGGACTCTCTGTGCTCAGCTCTTACAGAGGAAGGACTTCCTGTGCATAAAAGTGGTGAATCCAGAGCTTCTAAAACTGATTTGGAAAGTCTGCTTTGGAAGTGAGGAGGGTTTTTAATGATTTTTCAGAAGAAAATGGAGGTAGATAGCGGGAGGGTTTATAGGAAAAGTCATAGAAAAAGTATCTAGGTGTAGGTTTAATCTCCTACACGCTGGAGGAGATTTAGCATTTGTTCATCTGGTTTGGCATTCCGAAGGACTAGGGAAGCAAAGCATTAGGCAATGTCCATTTTGCAGCCTTTTGCTTTCTAATCTCCTTATGGAAGGCAGTGTAAAATCAATCCTGACAGACGAATGAGAGTTGGTGGAGTCTAAATTCTATTTCCCAAAGCCAGAGAATTCATAATAATGGTGGAGTTTTTTTTTTTTAATTCAAATGGAGAGTGTATCCTCAGAACACAAGGCAGCAATTGTTTTTTAAAGCGGTTATTTATTATTTCCTAGAGAGACTGGTTAACTGTAACGTAGATGTAACAAAATAATGAGGCGAATGAACCCTAACTGTACATACTCTTGACAGAAATGAAATGCACACAGCATCATAGCAGGTGAAGTGAAGCATTGTCTATCAGGGCTGTTTTTCTTGGCTGCATCTCAGATTGTGTGGGGGGATCCTAACCTCAGGCACAATAGCATTCATAAACAGCCATACATTGCTGCTCTTTCTCCAACGACACATAAATACTCATTTTAAAACGAAAACAATCTTATTAAATACCATTCATTCATATCTGGATTTACAGATGCTTGTTATGTTGGAAAAACCTGAACCCAATATAATCCTTGCATCCTGAGAAAGACAGAAAGGAAATAGTGGGTTAGAACATTACAAGGTCATAATAAACAATGGTTTCTAAAGGCACAGAATTAGTTACTTTTATTCTGTAATTGGACATTTTGAGGATCATGATATTGTCACTTCTTTTTCTTTAACAAACATTAAAAAAGAAGTTATATACATTTTTAAGGGGTGGGAAGATTAGAGGGTTGTTATTAAAAATAATTTTTATGGGACTAACCAAAGGCTATATGGATTTTGGCTTTCTCTGTTGTAACCAATGTGTATTTTCTAAAACACATGGTGATTATTGAACAGGTCACATATTTATATACTAACAGCAGTGATTATCTTTGAATTAAATCAAATGAGGATACCTAGTTGAATTATAAAAATGCTTGCTAGGCTATGCTAATTACCACACCCAATTTTTATGGAAACACAATGCTCCTTCATTACCTCTTCTATTCTCCAACAGCCTTTGAAAATCACTATCCAACCCATTCCTCCCCAAAATCGAATATTAATATAATTTGAGTTCTTGATGGAACTACCATCAGGACTGCAATGCCCCGCAGCTGAAATAATATTTAAAATAGAAGGGATTTGACATTTGAGAAGTCAGTGGCTTGAAATACCCAGTTGTACTTAGCTAATTCAGTCCTTAACCTCTGGTTTCAAATAAATCAATTACAGTCGATTCCACTTCAGTTCAGAAGTGCACAGGGTTTTAGTTAATTGAATACATTTTATTCACTTGCTAGGAATATTCATTTATCAAAATTCCAAATTTAATGTACATTTCTTTACACCTCAGATTATGTTAGACTGCACAATCAGATCAAATTTGCCCTGGTTTTCCCCAACTCCTGCTTAAAATCTAAATTTCACCACTCTTTATGAAACGATGTTTGCCATTCCTTTCTCGATCAAAAGTAAATTCATAATAATTCCATGCCAGGCAGGAGAGCTGTTTTCCCCCACAAAGAAAAAAATCATGTGGTCATCATCCTTGCGTTAACTTTAGATAGGTTAAGAACAGAGCTGGATTAATTAAGTTTTTAAAAAGTATTGACCTGAAATTTAAAAAAAAATTACGCATGGTTTCCATTAGAGCTTAACTTGGCTGCAGCTGACAGGTATGACAACATTTTAAAGCCGCAGGCCCCTTTTCTTAACCCCCTCTCTTCCTCTGTCTCCCCCCCGCCCCTCTGGCTTTTGGAGAAGTGCTTGAATAAATAGTGAATTGTTAACTGAAAGCAGTATGGTTAAATGTGCCCAAATGAAGTTGTGCTTTAAACAGATATTGATGTATGCAGTGTTTTATATTTATTGTTTGTAGCATCCTGCTGGCAGCAGTTTACTGTTTGGAAAGGAAAGGGGTTAATTAGCGTCATTATCAATCACTAATGCTTGCCTAACGTGTCCAAAGAATAATCAAGTTAGAGGACGGCATGAAGCCAACAGCTGCTTCATCCCAGTTACAGATCTCCTCCTAAGCCACTCAGTTATGGGGTGGAGGGGTGGGGGTGGGGGGACGAAGTGAGGGGAAGAATCGTCATTGCTTGGGTAAAAGGGCTATAAAAATCAGGTCAACTCACTAGAGACTCAAGAGGCAGAAAGTACAACATAAATAACAGTATTTTCATTCTCTGAGTTACAGGTGCAGAGATGGCACCGGTCCTGAGGCAAGAGTACTAACATTTGTCCTTTAATTGGCTTGATGATCCAAGTTGGGCATTTGAAGAAACACATCTAATTGTAGTTTCCCTATTGCTTTGTGCTATGTGGTAAAAAAAAAAAAGATACCTAAAATGCAAGAAGAGAAGCGGAAGAAGAAGGCAAAAAAACCTCACACACCACAGACAAACCCAAGTCAACTCCAAATATCACCCAACCACCCATCTCAGAAGAATAAAACCACAGAACACAGCAGGTAACTGCAGTTCTCACACCTCTGCATCACCTCCTAGGATGCTTAGGGGTATTTTTCCTTGTGATTTCAATGAACAATTCTTTTTTTATGTTGGTTGCTGCACAGGTATGCCACTCTCAGCTTCCTGTTGTTCTTACTGCTCTTAATGATACTGTCCTTGTGATGCACCGTGGGAGAGAAACTGGAAAACTTTGACTTATTATGGGTTCCTCTCGCAGCTTGTCTTTAAAAACATTATTTGCAAGTTATCCAGGAGTTAGAACTAAAGACCCCATTAATGACCAGAGTTTACTCAACTGTTTTCCTGAGGGCAGGGATGAATTAGCCCAAGGTGGAGTAGTTATAAACAGAGAGCAGTTATGTGATTGGACAAGACGTTGATTTCCATCTATGAAAGGAGTAGCCCAAACTCATGTTTGCCCATGTGGACATAGATAAAAACCAAAACAAAACAACAACAAAAAACATTCTCAATCAAAACATGAACATAAGTGAAGTCTCCATCCAAAGAAGTAGCTGGTGTTTCCCACGGAGGGCAGCCTGGTTGCCATCAGAGTGGGAAGAGAATGTTGAGATGGGAAACTGTGGAATGCATGTTTATTTGAGTTTTTGTGTTTTGAAAAGTAAGATTCTGTTCTTTAGGATAATGATAGAAAAAAGGAAAAGGGGAATACAAGAGATTTTAGGCTGAACCTGGGGCCTTATAACTGTTAAGTATTGTTCATGTGTAAACTGTATTTCTTTTTCGTTTTCGATGCCCCAAAAAGTGCAGCACTAACTTTGATTTCACAGAGAGATTTCTTCCTTAACGAAAGAGCAACAGAGCATATTGCTGGAGAAATCTGTTAGAGCCAAAGGAAGCTCAGGGAGATGACCTTTTAGTGGATAACTGAGAAAACACAGAGGAGGAATTTCTCTTCTTTCTTTCCTTCTGTTCTCCCTCCCTCCTCCTTTTCTGCTCTCTCTCCATCAGACCTTCCTTTCCTCTCAGTCTCCTTTTTAACACAAGAATAGGTCTGACATCTTAGAGCAAACTTCCTATGACTATTTTGACTTTCTATACTAAGGTCCATTTAGGGGTAGGGATATTTTCAACAGCAAGGCATGGATTTTTAAAAACTGGCCCAGTTTCATTCTAGCTTTCACCACGCGTGATAT